AGACAGGAACTCTCCTGAACACTTCCCAAAACACAGAAGTGTATGAAAAGTTGAAAAAGAGTAGCAAAGCCTCTCTTAGAGACTGCATACCAGTATGGATCGTCTTCCTTGGAGCTACCACTAGAAAATTAGGTCACAAAAAACCCACAACAGTAATATGTAGACTGAAAGCAAATAAAAACCAAGCCCTCTAGCATCTTTTGAATAAAAGGAAATCTTAGAATGAAAATTAACCTAGTAGCAAAACTTGCCTAATCTAACATCAAACTTATATTTGCACAGACCACAACCAATTTATGTCTGGTTAATGACAGCATTTTAAAAATGGGAGAAAATAATCTCTTGTTTCTGTATCAAAAAACTGATTTTTTTTTTTTTTTTTAAAGAACCTACGGATTATTTTCATTTGTAAAAAATGAACAGTGGGTGCAACAATTGACTCCTGTGATGTGCCTACATAGTGGTAAGATTTCCCTTTGCCTTTCTGAAGTTTGCAGAAAAAGCTGAAACCATGTCCAAAGAAAAATTAAAACCTCCAAGAATGAAATTACATGGGGATAAATTTTGCTTCTCCATCCAGGAAAAAAATGGATGGGAGGCAGTCAAAAAATTCTACAATAAATTCCATTCATTTTTCTTTTTTCAACAAAAACAGTGTAAAGATGTATTACATCCACAGGGAAGTGAATTTCAATGCAAGAACACATTAACTTGTGTTAATGTGTTCTTGCAGCCATCCTTCTGATATGGAGGCAAGGTGGATACATCAGTAGGATTCCATCAGACCACTGGGTTTTGTTTTCACTAAAAAAACTCCATGTGACTAGTTCACTGCCATAGCTCATCACCACTGATCTCAAAATTAAATTTATATCACTTCCCATTCTGCATACAGGACTGCTGCTCATGGAAACAAAACTCACACACTGATCACTTGCAAGACTATATTCTAAATTATCAATAGAAGTGAGGAAAGCCTGCAGCATCTTTCTCCTACTGGGAAAGTGTGGATTTTAATCCGTTGAATTATGAAGGAAAAAAAAGAAATCTGGGAGATAAATACTTCAACTCTGGTCAAGATAAAAGTTACACCCTGTTATATCACAGGATAAGAAATAGTGAGAAATACTGCTTATAGGAGAATTTTACCTTGCACCCTGCATACAATGTAAATTAGACTACCTGAGAACAGTATCATTCATGGTTTCTGCTCTCTTTCATTCAAAAAGTATCAAGCAACACAGAAAGCCCTTAAAAATTAGGAAAACTCCCTGGTGTGGTCTACTGGGACAACTTAAGCAGGGGAAATGCACACACAGTATTACAATTATAGTCATTACAACAGTTCCAGATTTTTAAGCCACTAAAAACCACCACACAAACATTTCTAAAATGAGATCTGTGGTGAGGCTAAAAGGAATGAGACATTCACCTAACATGGGATATCATATCAAGCATCTGGAAAAGCTGTTTCCTTCTCAGCTGATACCTTGCCTTCTATTACAATCTTTTAGGTTATTATAATCTCTGCAGATCCCACTCTCCTGGCTCATGCATTCTGACACAGATCATTGCTGCAGGAGTTTTCCAGGGTCAATGGAACAGCAGAAACATCAAGTTATGTGCTGCTCCTGCCTTTCAGCTGTCATCTCATGCTCGCACAGGGAAAATACAGTAAAACAAATCCACAGGCCACAAGTCTTACCTTTTTCTTTCTTCTCTCCATCTAGCAATCTCTTCTGGACTATCTAATTTTATTCTTTTGGCACCAGGTGCATGTGCCTAAGGAAAAAGTATTTCACAGGTGTTTAAAAGGGGAAGGAAAAAAACACAAGTTAAAAAAGAAAACATCCCTATGTCTCGTATAGTGGTATCACACTGTTTTCATCTCCAAAACTGGTGAGACTGTACACAGAGATGATCAAATGAATCCATTAACAAATTTTTATCCATAATATTGTCTTGAAACAGATTCTCCTCAGAGGTAATACATTTTTTTCCAGATTAATGAAAGGAAACCACTGAAGAATGAGAAAAGGGGCTATGATAAAGATGGCACAGACGCCTATTTTGGGCCCAGAGGGTTACCTACATTCTTCCAGTGTATCTGAACAATCTTCTCATGGGCACTGAAATTGCAACCTTCTTCTGAGCACTGCAAGATAAGAGGGTGAATTTAAAACATACCAATTTACACAAATTATAAACAAGCTTTCAAGCACACTTTAAATAAACTCAGTGCCAGTTGCCTGTACCGTTTGTTGCACAGGCTGTGTAAGTTACCCTGCTTGCTAACAAAAGTGACTGTAAAAACAGCAAGCAGGGATAATGCACTTTTAAATTTCATCTGGTTTTAGAATAACCAGTGTAGGCAACGTATCTGACAACTGAAGAGAAAGTGAAGTTTACCTAAGACAAAAATTCGCAATTTCAAATTTTGATAATTTTCAATAAAGGAAATTTTTTAAATGTTTCCACACAAAAACTGTAATATTAGAGCAGTGTCAATGAATTAATTCCTATTCCCCTACATACAGCATTCATGATAAAAATTTGCAATTTCAAATTTTGATAGTTTTCAATAAAGGAAATTTTTTAAAATATTTCCACACAAAAACTACAATGTTAGAGTGGTGTCAATGAATTAATTCCTATTCCCCTACATACAGCATTCATTAAAAAATCCCCCATTAATACTTGACATAGCTCTGGAATCTCATTCCTATGTCTTCTGTTCAAAGAGTGACTACAGCTAACCATTTGTCAGGCACAAAGGAAAAAATCAAAGTGTGAATAAAAGAAGCCAAACCCATTAACCTGCTTATGCTGTGAAATGTGTTCATCATACTTCTCCTGGTTTTTATAGCCACGATCACAGGTATCACAGTAATGAGAGAAAACTGGCTCTTTTTTCTTTCTGGTCTGAAAAAAAAAAAAAAAAGAAGAAATAATCTCAGGACTGCATTTACAACATATTCCTGTGTTTAGTTAGTCATCAAACACTATTAGTATTTTTGTTAATAAAGCAGTTACTAGTTTCAAAAGTTTCAAAGACAAACTAACATAATATGAAAGTTAAGTTCCAATTACTTATCTTCTAAACAGAGTACCCTGCACTCAGCTCTTCCCACTACCACCTTCCAATCAATTATTGCTACAGCAAACACACCAGTCTGCTGGCAAGGACTTCACAAGGGCTGTGAAATTTAGGCTAAAGCTCCATGTCTGCTCCCTACCAAGACAGACCACGACTGGTACAAGTTCAGAGGGCAGCACAGACCCTGCCTTCTCCCACTACACACATCAGGGTCATCTGGCTGGCTGGTCTTGACCATGCAACAGAGGCAGCAGGGCACCACCACAGCAAGGTGACATAAACCAGTGTAACAATTTGGTTGACATGTATCTTTCAAGAGTTACAGACTGTCACATGTTTGCTCTCTTCTAAGGGCACCAGGTCAGACAGGAGAACGAGACCTCTATAGTGCCTTGGGACAAGTCCCATAAGACTGACACCGTCACAGAATGGTTTTGGTGGGAAGGGACCTTCCAAGATCATCTGGTTCCACCCCCCCCTACCATGACCTATGACTAGATCAGGCTGCTCAAAGCCCCATTCAATCTGGCCTTCAACACTTACAGGGACAGGGCAGTCACACCTTCTCTGGGCAATGTGGCCACTATCTCATCCCCTTCATAATAAAAAAAAAGTCTTCCTTATGTCCAGTCTAAATCTACTCTGCTTCAGTTTAAAACCATTACTCCTTGCTCTACCACTACAGGCTGTACTATAAAGTCTGTCCCCATCTTTCTCCTCAGTTCCCTTAAAATACTGCAAGGATGATGCAGGGTTCTACCTAAAGCCCTCTCTTCTCCAGGCTGAACAAAGAGCTTCCCCAGCTCTCTCAGCCTTCACAGAAGAGGTGCTCCACCCCCTAATCATTTTTGTGGCCTTTCCCTGGACCCATGCCAACACGTACATGTCCCTCTTACGCTGGGGACCCCACTCCATACCTTTGGCTTGTTATTTTCTTCTGGACAATGTTTATTAAATGGAGGCGCTTGCTTGCCCTGCCATTTCTGGGAGAAATTACCATTTCCACCTTCAGAACAGAGAAAAAAAAAAAAAAAAGATGAGCCATTCACAGATATACCTGGTAAAACACCCCCCTCCTACCTCGGAGGGCAACACAGAAAGATGTAGGGAAGAGATAAGAGAGGGCTGAATGACCAACTTGCTTGGAGGAGAGTCCTGCAGCCCCAAGGGCTCAGGACAGCCCCGGGGCCCCTGCCAGCGTGGGATGGGAAGGGGCCCGGGGGCCCAGGACACGGCTTCTGCCCTGCCCTGCCCCTCACCGGGTCGCGCTCCGTAGGCCGGCGGGAACCAGGCGGCAGGCGAGCTGTAGCTGTGAGGGGGAAGGAAGCTCTCGGGCTGCGGGTAGCTCTGAGCCGGCGGGTAGCCCTCGGCGGGCTGGGAGTAGCCCTCGGGCTGCGAGAAGTTCTGGGCAGGCTGGGAGTAGCTCTCGGCGGGAGGGATGCTCTGGGCGGGATCCGAGTAGCCCTCAGCGGGCGGGTAGCTGTCGGCGGGCTGCGAGTAGGACTCGGCGGGCTGGGAGTAGCTCTTGGGCTGCGAGTAGGAGTCGGCGGACGTGTAGGTGCCGTCGGGCGGCGGGTAGCGGCCGGGCGGGGGGTAGGGCACGGGGGCAGCCCAGAAGCTCGTGTCCCAGGAGGGCGGCGGGCAGAAGAAGGGTGGGGGGATGCCCGGCGGAGGCAGCCCCGGCGGGGGCGGCGGGTACCAGGCGAAAGGGTTCATGTCGGGCCCGGAGAGGCCGCCCGGGTGTGCAGCCCCCGCAGCGCGATGCTCTCGCTCCACCACGTGGGGCCCTCCAGCGGCGGCCGCTGAACGCGTCACGTCCGGCCTGAGGAAGGCGAACCCTCCCTCCTTCCCTCCCTCCCTCCTTCCCGGTGGGCGCTGCGTCATCCGGGAGCGCCGGCGGGGCGGGAGCAGGGAAGCGGAACGGAGCGGGGAGGGCGGCCGGGCTGCCCGCGGAGCCGGCCTCGCCATGGCCCGCCAGCTGATCGGCCCCGCGCTGCCGCCCGGCTTCCCGCGCCGCGCCGAGGCCGAGCCGGGCGAGGACTTCAGCCAGGGTGAGAGCGCAGGGAGGCGCCGGCGGTGGGAGAGCGGGGCTCTGCGGCCCTCGTGCCGCAGCGCGGGATGCTCCGTGGGGAGAGCGGGGCCTGCGGCCGGTGTTCCGTCTGCGAGTGGGATAGAGCGGCTCTGCAGCCCGTGTTCCACGGCGCGGGATGCTCCGTGGGTGGGATAGCAGCGCGGGGTGTACGCCGCCAGTGCGGCACCTGGATAGAGCTAAACTCACCATTACAGGGTCATTACAGTGACTTTTTCAGGGGGAAAAAAAAAGCCCACAAGAAATAAGCGCCGTATGCGGTGGAATGCCACAGAAATGAAACGCTCTAAGACTCGTTTTAGAACAATACTACTTTCGGTCACTTACTTTTGTCCCGCTCAAGTCTCGAGTGCTCTTTGAAGCCTGTGCTCTTCAGCAGCTCCAAGTGTGGAATTAGCGGGTAGGAAAGGAGGAGGCTGGGCCTGTGCAGCGTGCTTTCCTTTGCCAATGCACTTCATCAGCTGTGGTTTTCCAGGCAGAGCGCCTCAGGATGTGGAGCAGGCTGCCGGTCCGTGGGGCTGTGGTGCCTTGCCTGTCATGTCGAGAGCTGTCACATCAGAGGTGGGATCCCACCGAGACCGGCTGACTGCCAGGCTGGCTCTTCTGCAGTGGAGCTCAGCTTCCCCAATAAAACTATTGCATGTTCTCTGTCAGTAGTATCTCTGGAAGCAGCATTTTGAGGGTTTGCACTCCTTGCCTTTAATCCAGGTTCAAGGCACTAGTTCATGTATTCAGTCGCTAGCAGAGTGTCGCTCACTGTTTGGTTACTCCAAAGAAAGCAGCTCTGATAGGAAAGGTTTATTGTGCTTGTCTGCTCTCTAGTTTTTTAATCCAGAAGAGGGAGCAATAGCAAGAGGGATAAAGCTGCTGCATCAGCTGACACCATGGCAACATCAAGCTCTGTGTCTGTATCTCAGCTTTGTGCAGAAGCCCTGAATGCATGAGTGGTGCTGCCTTTCCTGGCCATATCTGTGTAAATAGTTTTTTTCACTTTCCATCAACACAGTGATGCGTGCTGCAAGTATCTGTATTGTGTATGAAAAAAACAAGTTAAACTTATCCTTAGGCCATGAGTTGGTGACATTGAGTGCTTCAGCAGTGTCTAGTTTAGGTTAATCAGATGAGTCTGCCCCCTCTGTCCCAGTGTAAATCAGTTCCGTGGTATTACAGTTGCTCTGGCAACTGATCCAAGATCTGCTTGGAAATTTCTGTGTGAAGTGGGTGAAAGAATTTATTTGCCTTTGAAAACAAACAAACAAAAACCCCAAACTCCAGGTACTGGCAGGTTGTTTGTTTTTATAATTTTCACAAACTTTTTCTGACTTTGACTTACATCAGCTCAGTGTCTCTGCTCACCCCATGAGGCAGACTGCTGCAGTGCAGAGGAAGAAAGGAGAGCAAGTACTTTGGCATAACACACTTTGCTGTACAGAACTGCAGCTCCATCTGGAGTTCTGCACCTGGAGTGACAAAAATCACACGGTGGGGCTGCCACCAGCACCTTCTGTGCTGCAACACTTGCTGGATCTTGAGTCAAATGGGCCTGGAATTTGTTCTGTAACAATTTCCCTTGTGTGTTCTAGCTATTTTAAGAGATGCTTCACCTTTTAAAGCTGAACAGCTTTTCCAATATTTTTCCTGTCACAGTAGTCTCACTGATAATTGAGCTGCTCATTGCTTTTCTTGGTTTTTTAGTCTGCTTTCATAGTTCCTGTCTCCCAACAGCAAGAAAGTAGGACTTTGAGCAGTCTGTGGCAGAGAAGACTCAGGCACAAGAGAAGGCTGTCAGACAGACATAAGAAATAGGAAAGTGACTGTGTATGATTATGATTAGATTTATTGCTAATACATTCCTTCTGGGGACAATCCACCTGCGAGCTGTCTGCAGCCTTGGGAAACTAGTTGGCCAGTGTCCAGCAATATTTTATATCCTTGTGCAGGCTGATGTGCACCACAGTCAGTAGCAAACAGCCCCATTGAGCCCCACTCCCACCTCCCTTCTGGATATAAGCATCCAGACACTTTGTCCTGTAATACACACTGGTGTTCTTACCATGGGACAAACCACATTGCCTTTGGTGTCAGAGAGGTTGCTAATAATACTTCTGTGACCCTTAATTGGGAGCAGGATGGAAGCAGGTGGTAGCTGGACAGACCCAAAAGCTCATCCCTAGTAAATCTTTGCCTTCTTCAGCTTGTCCAACCCATGGGATGCACTTATTTCCTGATTCTTCATTTCATGGTGGTGCTCTGAAGCTGGACTAACTGTGCTCCTGCTGGAAGAATTGTACTTCCTTTGGCCTATTTGTCCCTGTCTCTGGGCTGTCCTTGTACCAGCAGGACAGAAGTGCTAGGGAATGGCTAAAAATAACCAGAGACGCAGAAGGGGATTTTGTCTGTTTCAGCATTGAGGCCACATAAAGATGTGTTGATATGTCTGGGTTGATCTACCACTGTGCTGGAGCTGAAAGGTCTTGTCTGTCCTTGAGAGCTTCCCAGGTCACGTCTGATGGTGTGGTAGTGTGCTTAGAATCCCCAAATACAGCAGAAATAACCCTAACAAAACAAAAAGTAGTTTTTAATTTGGTTTCTGAACTGAATTGACTTAATTTTCAGGCAGATAGTCACCAGAGCCAGCTCATTAGTAGGATGGTCACTTTTAGCAGCTGTGAAACATTCACTTCAGTCTCACTTGGTCTTGTTTCTCTTCTCACTATCCCAAACATTTTCTTCTCATACATTTTTATCCCATTGCTCTGTTCTGAATTGTTCTGAGATCTGGTTACTTTGTCATTTTTCTGTTGCTCTGCCATTACTACATCCATTTATCCTCCTCACCTCATTAGGTTTATTTTCTCGACTCTTTAAGCTCTCCTCTGTTCTCCTTCCATCTGTATTTTTCCACATCTCTATGGATTTGGGGGAATTTCACAGACTTCTGATTAGATCTTGGCTTCCCTCCTCACCCTTTTCTTTCTTTGCTCCCAGAATTTACACTTAGCAATTTCCACTCCTACCTTTCTGCTCTTTCTTGTGGCTCCCCAAACCATCCTGATCCTTAGCTGTGTATTTGGCTGTGCTGATTGTTAGTCTCAGTCAGTACCATGGTCATATTAATTTTTAGTCCCAAGTCTCTTTCCCCTCCATTTCTTTTCACCATGTCCAATGACTTTTTCTTCCTCAGGCTTTAAATGCCGTTTTTCCTTCATTAGTCACTCTCAGTCTCTGTTTTAATTTCTGGTTGTCCTGCTTAGGCTGCAATTCCACTAACAAACAGTTCTTTCAGGGAAGTGCTGTGGTTTGCAGTGTTGTTCTTATGCCCTTTAAGTTCCCTGATCCGGCTTATTGCATAGCCCGTGCAAACAGTTTTGCCAACATAACCGAGAGGAATTGGGATAAAAGTATGTATGTTAGCCCTGGTGTTGAACAACATGCCAGTGGGACGAGTCTCCTTCCTCAGATAGTTTTGGTTTCACTAGTTCTGTGCAGCTCACAAAACTACTCCTAATTTCTCTCTTCCTCTCTGGTATTAGACTCATCAAATTGTATCCGAGTTTGTTCTCCTTCCATTCCAAGTCTTTTCTTTTGCATTTAGAGCAGATGAAGGATCTGCTTGCATGATGTCAGAGCACCAGGTGGCTGGAGAAAGCAGTTGTGCAGGTTTTGTGTGGGTTTTAAGTGCTTTTATTCAAGTGGTGCTTTTTGTACAGAAAAATGAGACTTCTTGATAGCAGTTTTTATTCCTACTTATCATTAATCTGTTTGTTTGCTTTCATCTTGAACTTATTTTACCTTTATAGACTAAGGTGTTGTGTTTGGGTTTTTTCAGGGCGAGAGATGTGGTTTGTTGGGTTTTTTTTCGTTCCTAGTGCTGAAATGGATTTGTCCCATTTAAAGTTTTTTCCATTAGAACAGGAAACAAAGAAGTGGCAGATCTGCCTGGATGCTTTGTAACTAGTCTTGTGCTAAACATGATTAAAAGCTTTGTGAAGCTCGCTCGAAGGACTTGATTTCTGCCTAGCCTTTGTCAGCTAACAATGGAACCATAATATGCATTAGGTTGTATTTTGTACTATCAAAAAGTTGCAATTCTTCAACTGGAGATCTAATTTCCTGGTACCATTTATCTTTTCATCTGACCCTTGACTATTCATAAAGGGAACAATGTCTTTTCCTCACCAAAGCACCTCTCTGTCCTGCAAATCTTGTACTCAGTGCTTGAGATATTAAGAGGAGGAATGGTGAGTGTGTCTCAGGATGTTAAATCATCAGTAGAATCAAATCTCCATTACATGGGAACATGGGCTGTTTGTACTGTGTTTGTGTAAATGGGTGCCTTGCCCTGGATTGGGAAGGCCTCTTACCTGGGAGGTAAAGCCATTGCTGGTTTTTGCTTGCTCCAGCTGACTCCTTGTTGATTGAGCCTGTGAGGCTATCTGTGTTAGGGGTCTTGTTTGGAGGGCATTGCTGTTAGGGTCAATGGCTGTGCTGCTTCTGGACCCACTGCATGTGGTACTATAGCCAAATAAACCTATAAAGATCAGTGTCTGCTGGTGGGCACAGTGCCAGAAGCAGCTCAGGCCTGTTAGCAGTGTTAGTGTCCGAGTTTTAATTTTGCTGAGATACTACCCCAGAGCATGAAGGTTTTACTGGGGCATGAGAGCTCCATCCACTGTCCTGGCCTTCTGACAGCAACAATTCTTTGAATTCATTCTCTGAATGCTTAAATCATCCCTTTTTCAGCAGAGTACTTAAATCTGTCCCTGCTGTTCACATTTAGCTGAACTGGGAATAACCTTAATCATTAAACCATTCCCAAAGGAGGCTGGCAATTAATTTAATACTTTATGGTCACAAATGCTCCCATTTAATAATTTACGGTCTCCCACGCCGTGTATGTACAGATGATGTGTTTCTTCACTAGTGAGCTTCAAATGCTTCATTAAAGTGCTTCTTTTAAATATACTGGTTTATGCCACATCCATTGTACATTAGTTGTTACACAAAACAGGGCTTTCTAGCCCTGTTCCATAGAATACTTATGTAGTAATGGATTAGTAACGTCCTAAGTCAGAACAGTTCAGCGTAGCTTGTTGATGGAAATAAGGTGCTGAAAGAAGTAACTTCTAGAAAGTTGTTTAGATATCTTCTCTAAATGCTGGAGAGAGCAGTGATTAAATAAGCTTAATTCCAAGTAAATATGTGTTTTGGAAATGCCATGGTAGATCATACCCATCTGAAACATTTGGTAGGCATCCTTATTTAACCTGGTCTAGTAGAAGGTTCCCTGCCCATGGCAGGGGGATTAGAACTAGACAATCTTTAAGGTCTTTTCCAAACTAAACCATTCTGTGATTTTGTGATCCCAAATAACTGTATGTTTAGTTGCAGGACCAGCACTGCCTCCAGACTACAAAAGCAGCTGTAGCTCAGAAACTCCTGACAGTGATGACGACTCAGAATCTCTTCCTCTACCCAGAGACACAAACAGAGATTCTGAAGAGGAGACAGAAGGAGATCCAGCTTCCAAGTGAGTATGTTTTTGGATTATTTGTATATTTACAAATTGTATTGCAAACGTAATGTGTCCAACTTATGAGAAAGGAACAATGTTGTATAAAAAAAGGTAAACTCTCTACCTGTGTAAAACTTTTGATTACATTTTCTCCGTGTTCTTCACAGCCAAGAACGTTCAGCTGACCTGTTTGATGCCCTACGGTGGAATTAAATTACTTGGGGCAGTCAGATCTCTGTTTTTATATGTTTTATTTTAGTTTTGCAAATTTGCATGTTTATGCTAAGGACTGACACCACTTACCATGTACATAAGTATTTGGTACTTGAGTTTTTGCCCTGGTTTTGGTATACTGACTCTCTTTGAGAGGCTGTAAGACCTGTTTATGGACATGAATTTATGCATTCAATTAAGCTGACTCATGAAAAAAACCTGAATTGTTTAGTAAGTAACAGGAGTCTGCAGATACTCTCATTTGTTGGGTTGATTACTCACAATTGTTGTGTTAAGAATTTGTGTGTGTTTGCTCTAAGCCTTGTATAAGAGACTTGAAGGTCATTATGCCATCCTAATGAGTGCTAGAGTAATTATTATTCAATTTTTTTCTTGTTTTCTTAGTCAATAGTTTTTCAGCTAATTAGAATAGAACAGGAAAAATACTACTCAAAATGCAGACAGCATACAAAAATGGAGAAAGTACTGAATTTTAAATTACTTTTTGACTAGAAAATGGTATTTCAACATTATACTAAACTTCTTTCTACAGCAAAAGCATTGTTAATGTTGTTTTTAATTTTTTTTTCTTTTTTAAATGTCAGAACGTTTTTGAAGTGAGTCTTATACTCCCCATTTTTTAATTGCTTCAAATCATTTTGTATCCTTTTGCACTGTTTCCATGGTAACAGCAGGATATTTAGTACAGAAGACCCTATGAAATAATTTTATGTGGTTTTTCTTCCTTTTTAAAATGTAGATAATTGCTATGCTTGTCAAGGTAATTATTAAGTGAAATCTGTATTTGCAGAAAGCCAAAAAGAATTCATGAAGACGATGATGATGATGGCTTTTTTGGGCCAGCTCTTCCTCCTGGATTTAAAAAACAGGATGATTCTCCAGAGAGGTAATTAAAATGGAATTATATTCAGATTCTTTTCCTCAAAACACAATTATTTTAGATTAAATATTTTGTGTCACTATTACAGAACATTTCAGTTGTGCACTTGAGATTGAGATGATTAGAGGTAATGCTTCCTCCATGTTCTAAGAACAAGGACAGCATTCCCTCGAAACAGAGCACCAGCCCTCCTAGGCCAGGTTGGAAGGAGAGTAAAAGAGCTAATGTAAATTTTCTGAGATGTATGTCAAATTTCCTCCATTTCTTTTGATAGGTCTCAGATCAGTGGAGAAAAAACAAACTACAGGTACAAGGACCTGTAGTTCTGTAGTGTTCATTCTGGTCTCTGAGGGCCTGGGGCAGTTACCTCGTGTGTGGTGCAATACCCTGTCCTTTGCTAATGCATCAAGGATTATTGTTCACATATCTCCAGGTACAAAACTACTCTGAACACTGTAGGTTTCTAGAAAAGAGGCTGTCAGGTCTACACAAATAAACACTGTTTATGGTCTCTATCAGGAAGCTTTCCATTTGATTGCTTACAGTTATAAAATACTTCCCACCCAAAATATTATATGGATTTTCTTTATAGAACTCATCCGTGTCTCACAGCCTTTTAGTCTTTACATCAATCTGGGCACTTCCTTCTGTAATTTGAAATTATAGTCCATAGTGGAATTGGTGCTTCCAAGGGGATACTTCCTGATGAGAAGTACAAGAGTCCCTTGATCACTTTTATCTTCCTCAGAGCAATAGGAGTTGGTAGATAAAATAATACTTGCCTGTCAGGTATGAGTTTTCAGTTCCAGGAAAGTGACTCAATTTACTGTTGAGCTGTGTGTGTAAATATACCATCTCAAAAGAAATTTTGAAGTTAATTCTTTTTTTTAGTTTGCATAAATTTTTATGATGCTTGGCAGCATAAAATTTATGTAACTAAGCAAGAATTTATGTAACTAAGGTTATTTGGAGTTATCTTTCTCGTGTACATTTGGTTACACTGCTGTAATTAAAAAACTCTTGTAGTTGCGGGTGTCATGCTCAGTGGGATCATTTGGTGCTTTGATGGTCCCACAAGCAACTAATTTTTTTTCTTGTGTTGTGTATGCACAAAGTATTATTTTAATCATAAAATTTAGCAGTTCATTGAAAATAATGTATTCTCTATTAAAAATAAGAAACGCTTGTAATTTCTAATATCAGCAGAGGTAGCCTTCTTACTTTCTTGATTTTTTACATGAATACTCGTGGTAAAATGAAAGAGGAAGGGGCCATTCACTCAAGAGCTGGACTTGATGATCTTTGTGGTTCCTTTCTAACTCAGAATATTCTGTGATTCTGTGACATTGAGGCAAGAGTCTGCTCTGTGTCTGTGATAAATTAAAGCAGTAGAAGGCACTTGGCACTCACTGTATTGTTTTTCCCTGCCTCGCCATACAATTGCTCCTAGCACGCACTGAGAAAGCAGATTGAGGAGAGCTGTTTTGCACCCAGCCTGATTCCCTGAATAGGTGGGAACAGTGAGATGTGTGGGAAGAGCCTTGTCTGTCTTCCACCCCCGCACACCTGGGAGTCTGGGAGGCGTGTGAGCTGTGCAGGGCGCAGACACAGTGCTGCTGTCTGCCTGCTGCATTGCCCTTAGCCTTGAGCAGATTGCCAGATGCCAACTGAGCCATGAATAATTGAAACAAATGCAGGTCGTTTGTTTCAGTGTATGGACAGGCTGTTTATCAGTTCTGTGTGACATACTCGTTCTTTTAGGAAAGCTTTTATTCTCTTACATCTTTTTCAGACTTGTCAAAGCAACGTGTTCATGATTAGGGGCAGCTCATGTGGCAATCTGCAGCTTGTTGAAAATGGTTTGAATCATTCCAGCATAAAATATATATATGTGAAAAGATTTCCTTCAACTTTGAATATTACATTACTGTTTACTAGTGTCAGATAGAAGTGCACCACTCATAAATATTTCTGAAGTGTTCACACATCAAGGTAAAGAGTGAAGGTGATCTTAAAAAATTTTACATTATACATCAGAAGAATGTTGAAACATCCATCTCAAAATGTGCATTAGCAAGGTCTTCCAAGTCCAAAAACAGGAGAACAGTCTTTGCCATATATAAAATGCAATAGTCCTTAAATTAAAGCTTAGTGCATAAGTTTGGGAGGTATTTTTGACATGGTACAGGTACTGAAGTTACCTACAGCAGTAAAATGTGTTTGCCAGTTATTTATTAGTAGTTAATATATTATTAGAGTAAATATATTATCAGAGTTATAATATTACTGGTGTTTAGATTCAATTCACCTGTTCAGAGACCCTCTGGACATTCAGTAAACTGTCAAGGATCATGTCACCTCTGTACTGCTGAGGAAGGACTGAAGAGATATTCATGTAGTGGAAAAGAAAAAGCATAAGGAATGGAAAGGATGGGAAGGATGAATATGTAAACTACTTTTCTGTTCCCTAAAGGCCCTTTGAGCTGTGACAGAATCAAGACAGAGCATTTGAGATTGGTTCTTTTTCACAGGCTGCAGTGATACAACCCACAACAGAGATGTTCTCATATATATATTTCAGTAGAGAGCTTTTTTTATAGTTTGATTTATCTGTCTCTCCATGAAGACTAAAAGTATTTGTGTACTAAAATAAAAGATTATTTTTGCTATATCTGTATAAGTTTAAACTCTTTAAATTACATTAGAAATTTAAAACATGGTCTTAACAAAAAAGTAGTCAGGAAGGAAGGAAGATAAAACTGTAGCAGCTAGGTGGAGGTGGAACTTCAAAATTAACCCAGACTTCTTGCCTGGGTTTAAAACCACACCAGTGCCCTTGTCCTGGCCTAAGCTCATATTTATTGCTCATGTCTGTGTATCTGTGGTTGGTTCTTCAGTGAGACTTTGTGTCTTATTTCCCCTCTTTAAACCCTGGCAACAATATCACTGCAGCAGGGCTGTCCTGATTAGATTATTGGGATTGAGTAAAGGCCATAATTAGTAAATTCAATTCAGGTGTTGTTACATTTAATAAGCTAAAGCTCACAACTGAAGGTCATAATAAACAAAGTCTGCTCTTACACTGTGAGAATACTGTCCCCTGCATGTGTCTTCAGGTGACAGTTGTTTAAGTTTTTAATTAGTTTTTATTAACTTTAAAGAATATTATGGTGGATTATTAAGAGGAGCCCACATTGAAAAGACTTTCAATACGGCAAGCACGGTTTCTTTGAGCTCAGTTTGTAGTATTCTTTTCACCGCTGAAAAGAGATTCTCACCTTTCTGTGTTTGTGAAGACAGCTGATGAACATTTCTTTCAGAGCTGCTGCTTAAAAACAAATCAGTGAAGTTACCTGCACTCACAAAATCTTCCTTCTCTTTCCCACTCCAAGGTAAAATAAAATTAGAGCAGTTCACTGTTTCTGCTTATTAAAGGACAATGAAACTGAGGTGCAAGACAAGAAGAACGAAATTGAGTTTGTTGATTGTGAAGGAGGAGTGTATATTTGTCTTATCACCTTTCATTTCTCTTGAATCTGATGAAGGAAGCTAGGGAAGAAAAAAGTGAATTTCCTTGACTACATGCTGCAACTTTCCTGGTTCTGTTTTTTTTTTGTTTGTTTGTTTGTTTGTTTTTTTGCATCAAAATTGTCTGCAGAGGTCCTCCTGGAAAATGGAGGCACTCTTATTCAGTTATTTCTACAGTATGTGTGCACAGGGGCACACTTGGTGTGGGGAGGAAGGAAAGTCATACTTCTCATTGATGTTTGATTTTTATACTGATGTATTATATTTTCCCCCCTCAACTGAAAAAACAAATTTTTTTTTAATTTTTTTTTTTCTCTGCTGTCAAGGCCCATTATAGGTCCTGCATTACCACCTGGCTTTAGGAAAGCTTCAGAGGACACCAGAAGTAGCAGGTGTTTCATAGGACCATCTGTTTCATCAGAATCCCGTCCCCAGGTTGGTGCAAAGAGAAGCCTTTTGTTTTAATACAAGCTATCTGAAATGGTTAAACAAGTTGCAGCCTGAAAGAGACTACCAGACACTTCTCAGGATGACAGTTTAATTTTGGACCAGAAAGTGTCTGGCATATTTTTGCTGGAGTCAAATACTTGAGCATAACTAAGCCTTTAAAAAAAAAAAAAAAAAAAACAAAACAAAAAGACTGGCCTGGTTTGTTGTGCTTTTGCTGTTAAATAGATGGTGCACTCACTGAACACATGCAATCTTGGCATCCTAAACTGCAGGCAGAAAACACATCTTCGCTTTCTTAAAGATGTTTACTAGTGGCTACAACCTTTAAATAAGTTTATCCAAAAGAATGCAATCAAGAATGGCATTACAGTGTCACTAAGTTGTTCTTGGCACTTGCAGGATAATACCTATGACTGGGAGTGAGGCGCAGGACAGTGACACTGACGTGCCTTTTTGGTTCATGTTTTTTGACTTTTCTGGTCATGTTAGGTATAAACTAGCTAGAAGTTCTGGTTGCAAAATAATGCATGTGCTACTGAAGAACATTCAGGAACACGATGTGTGATAAAATACAACTGTGGGGAAGCTTGAACTCCTTAAACATGGGCTTCTAGTACCATTCTGAGGGATCCAAATTGCCTATGGGACGGCCTGGCAGGTAGGTAGTAGCACTTTTAGAGAAAGTCATGCCCTTTTTGAGCAGCACCTCTTAACACCACAGCACCTAAGACACCAAAAATGGTGCTGGATACCAGTGCTTAGGCAAGCGAATCGCTCTCGTGCTATGATAAACTGAATATTAATTCCTTGAGAGAATTAATGTTTATTCTGTTTATTTAAAAAATACTTACATTTTTACATTTAACTCCCAGATACTATGGGAGATGCTAGACACACTAGGAAGAAGGAATGCAAAGGCAGCTCTAAAACTTCACTTTTTTGGTTAGCAGTTGCAAAGCATATAATTCTCTAGCCTCCTACAGTGAGTGTTGTTGTAATTCATCGTGCAGAAAGATTATCTGACATTTCTGAGGTACTCATCGTCTTCTAACTCCAAATAATGATTAAGCAATTTATCATAGTGACAAATCTCTTGAGGCAGAGATGTCTGCTGTCTGCTTTTATATTTTGCAAACAAAAAAGTCTCTCTTCTCATAAATACATCTTCAAGCAACAGCTTTTTTACAGGTATTACAGAACTTACCGTTTTTCTCTTCCTAATAGTTATCTTTTTGTTACCTCTTCCTAATAATACTCTTTTTCTTATTTTTTAATATGAGTAATTTCTTGTTGGCTTTTTAAAATATGTATTTAATTATTTTGTATTCAGGTACATCTTTAGAGGCATGCTGACTCTTCACTTTGCTTTAGTGAATCTAATGACTCAACGCCTTGTGTATTCTCAAGTAATGCTTTGTGCTTCCTGGCTACACAGCCCTGTCATCCTACTCCCATTGCTTTATCATGTACATTCAGACTGTAGCAAAATCTTTGCACTCACTTCTGTAGGTATTGGACAACATAGCTTTGCGTCCAGGGCACTGTGGCATCACCATTTTCTGTCTAGTTTTGCTTCCATCCACATCTGTACCGTTTGAACTTGGAGGGAGGCACCAGTGAGCTTTCTGTACAACCCTTGGCAAGTAGGAAGATTTTTATTGACATCTAGTCCCTAACAAATTTAAGTTTTTAGCCCTTCTCCAAAAAATTCCTTAGAATGCAATGTCAGAATCATGGAATCATTAAGTTGGAAAAGACTTCCAGGATCATTGAGGCCAGCCTTTGGACTCACCAAAGTCAACTAGACCGTGGCACTAAGGCCCACATCCAGTCATTTTCTGAACACTTCCAGGAATCGTGACTCCACCACTTCCTTGGCAGCCTGTTCCAATGCTTGATAACCATTGCAGTGAAGAAATTCTTCCTGAAGGGATCCATGTGGGATCAAAGAAGTGAATGACAGAGCCAAGGGATTAATTGGAGATGCTGTAATTGCAGGGCCATAGTACCATGCATGCCACTGGTACCCTACCTTGCACTTTATTCTTTCTGACATCCTTATAGCATCTGAGCTCAAAATAGTTCTTGCAGTGTGAAACTGTGATCCTTATTAGGGAAATGCATCCAAATGTTGCTGGTGATGGTAAAGCCCAAAATATGGAAGTTGTATGAATGTGTGTTCCAAATTCACCCACAGCCAGAGAGGCTGCATGGCTGTGTGCAGAGCATTGTAAAGTAGCAGGGCTTTGTGTGCTGCCTCTGCCTTTACCAGCAGTCTTACCTCAGACAAGAGATGCTGCTTTTGGCAAATTGGAGACAAAAAAACTGTGTTCAAGCACTAGAACAGGTCTAATCTGGAGTTCTAATCCAGGTTTTTATTGTCTGGGAAATGCCTTACGTTAGGTCTATATGCTCTTCTAGACAAAGTAATTTTAATTCTATAAAGCTGAAGTGTTCCTTGATGCTCTTAGCACTGTGTTTGAAAGAAATGTTTTATTTTTGGAAGCTGACAGATAGTAGCGAGGACGAAGACAATTTAATAGGCCCAATGCCTGCGAAAGGACCAGTGGAGTCTGATGTGGCTAAAGAGTTTGAACGCCGAGCTCAGAGAATGAAAGAAAAGCTTACTTCAGCAGACAGCGTAAGTTGGATTTCTTAATATATAATATTTTGTTGCTGGAGTGTATTTGTCTTTCTCTTTGCCTATTTCTGTGTAAACCTGGTTGCAGTTCAACTTGGGATGCTATGTGTGTGCAGGTGTTAAAGAAAAAAAGTCTGTGATTTCTGCTGGAAGCCAAGAGATTCAGACAGTAATTTTTGATCATGCTTTTTTCACTCTTCCCTCCACCCCTACTTCTTTTGCAAAGGATGAACCCAAACAAGTTACCAGGGAATCATGGATGACAGAGCTTCCACCTGAGTTGAAAAGCTTTGGATTTGGCCCAAGAACATTCAAGAGACGAGCTGATGACAAATCAGGTGATAGATCTATTTGGACAGATACTCCAGCTGACAGAGAGCGAAAAGCCAAGGTGAGCATTTATTTATCCATTTATATGGACTTGCAGGCAGTAGTTGTTACTGATGTTCTGTGAAAACAAAGCAAAGATACTGTGGGTTGGTCGGTAAAATTTTACTAATTCAAGCCTAAAGATGAAGGCAATGAAGTAACAACATTAAATATCATTGATATACATTTATTTCCGCTCTCATTTTGCAGTAGTCAGATACTCTGTATCAGCTTATTGACTTTCCAGTTAGCATGTTTCTTCTTCCATCAAGCTGAGCAGAAAATATCTGATGGCCTGTATCATGGTCTTCACCCTCTAGATTTAATTAAAGTAGATATAGATTTGCTTGTTTTTTACTTTCTGATTACTATAGCATGTGATTTCCTTTTACTCATCAGGAAAGAGAAGAGGCAAAAAAGTCAAGCAGTAAGGATAACGAAGAAATGGTATTATCTGGGAGGGACAAGAGGCTTATTGAGCAGGTGACTTCATACAATGTAAGTGTGATCACAAAATACTTCCTCTATTTCCTTTAGTTCTTTTCCTTTAGTTCTTCACTCTTCTTCTGGTTCTCATTTCTAGTGCTGCTGGTTTCCATGGTGATGCCACTATAGTTTTCCCTTTTAGTGCCCAAACCTAGTGCTGTTTTAAGGCATTAGAACCCTTGGCATTAATGTCAACAAGAGCAGGACTGGGTCCTCTGCAAAGTGACAGAATTTGGGTTTGTGTATATTACCTCAGTATTACCTTTCCTTCAATCATTCTCATGTCATGACATGGTTGCTGGGACCTTAGTTCAAATATTAGCTTGCTTCACCCAATTACTGGCATCGAAGAATAAAACAACAATGCAGGTTTAACTTTTAGGCCAACATATGCACTAACCTAAGAAAGGGTTGATGGGCTAAGCAGGTCACCGCATTAATTACCCTCTGTTATTAATTACATTAACTACTCATTACAGGAACTTCATTACATGTAGTTTTTCTCCGTCTCTACAGGAGCAGATAATGTTCACAGACAGATGTTGATTACTAGAAATCTGAACTCCATGTCACATTCCCTCTCACTTTTCTGTCAGCCCTGTCCCTCAAAGTGTGTGGGCCACTGCCTGCCTTAAAGCTCCTACTTCCAGTTTTTCCCTGATGTATGGCCTGAACTCTTATGGAAGGCAGTCTTGTCTCTTGAGAGGACAATTACATTGAAAATCACATCTTTGGCTTATTTTACATATTTATCTGGCACTTCTGATAATTTATTTGTGGTTCATTAAATCATACGTTTTTCCTGACTTAGAGACTTGCAAATCCAGAGCTATTAGCATTCTCTCTTAAGGTTCTTCTTTAGTGTCTGTTTCTCCTGTCACTATGAATATAGTAGAATAGTTTTCATGTAAAACTATGGGGTTTGTTCTCTGCCATTGGTGGAATAAAACATACACAGGCCTTTGCTGTTTCTAAGATTCATGGAGTTGTCTCCAAGTTCAAGAACATTGTTTCTTGGGTTGTTTTGTTATTTGTTTTTTCTCTTTTATTATATCAGCTATTTTCTGATTTTCTGGTTGTTGTTGTGGGTATTTTTCTTTTAAAGTTTTTTTCTCTATTCTTTCCTATTTCTCCACTGACATTTACTAAGGATACTTCACTAGAACAGATTTCATTCTTAAAGTAGTTTCTTCTTTTGATGCTGATACGACATACATTCTCTGGTGCAATTTTGTCAGCGCTGGCACGGTTGCGTCATGAATAACTGTTGTCTGTTTTCCATCAGAATCTTTTCTTAACTCGTGAATAAGCTATTATTTGCATGTGTGATGTAGTAAGTGTTTGCACAGGAAGTGAAGGAAAATCATGAGAAAACAGATCTGCTCAACTTTTGCACTTTTTGATGAGAGAATTGGTTTAGATACACAAGTGCACTGTACCTGAGTAAATGAGGGGCCTCATGGTCTTGGGAGCACTAATCCTGCTCCTGTGTGAAATCAGCAGAAGTTTTATCTTGTGTTTGAGCTGGATCATGCTCTCTAAGAAATGCAGCTAAAGCCACTGAGCTGGCAAAATACATGCTCCAGCTCAAAACTGTGACTTTGTCCTGTGGGCTTTCAACAGATGATTCAGAGTTAGGAGCACACATTTAAAAACCCATCATACTGCATGAAAGGTTGAAAGGGTGTCTAGCTTGTTCTGCTCCTATCAGTGACCAAATCTAGGTGTTTAGGAGATGTGTATAGGAAACTAGGCTTGTACTTTGAGTTATTTCTTTTGACATGGTGTCTTCTTTCTGCCAGTAATGTCAGAGCAATTTTTATATTTCTTTTGCATTATCTTTATAATTTATCTGTATTGTCTGTGGAGATTCAACAACATCATGGCTACCCATAACATTATGGCCATCTACATCAGTGAATTATTAGTATTTTAGCCTAGCCAAGATTACTCACACTTTCTACTCCATGTATGCTAAATTTATCCTTCTGTATACCGTTACTAAGCTGTCTTCTTTTTCTGGAATTTTTAGCCTTCCTGACTTCAGTCTTTCCATTTGGATTTTCTGTATGTTGTTGTTGATATTCTTTAATACTTCCTCTTCCTCCCCATTTTTTCCAGGAGTCAAAGAGGTCAGAGTCTCTCATGGACATGCACCAGAAAAAGCTGAAGAGCAAAGCATCCGAAGAAAAGAGCAAACCTCAGGAAAGAAGGCCGTTTGACCGAGAGCAGGATCTCAAAGTCAATCGCTTTGATGAAGCACAAAAGAAAGCTCTTATAAGAAAATCCAGAGATCTGAATAGTAAATTTGAGCACAGTAAAGGCAACATGTTTTTATAAGGTGAAAGCATTAAGCTTTTTTGAAGTGAAGTCCATAAAAATTTGAATACTTAATTTTTGTAAGTATTTTTCTGTAAATATTTGTATGCAAAATAAATATCCTGATGTTTAACTATTTTTCCTTGTCTGTAAATACTCTCTTAGGGAGGATCATCTGTACTAAAACTAAACTAGTAAAGGGAAGTCCTGATATTAAAAAAAATATAAATTTGCTACTTTAAAACTTTGATGTGTATATTTTTTTGTTGTTCACATAAAGATAATTAATTAAAATAAATGGGTTTTTAAGGAGCTCTAGATTTCATCTTGCAATGGAGTTGGCAGTTTTCCCTTTTCTCCTGCTATGCTTAAGATACTCTTTCTGAGCCTGACCTGAAGGCCATTGAAAAATCTCCATTATATTTGTGTGCAGAACATTGCTTGACGAGTTCCTGCTGGGGAGTATAAACTCAAATGGCAGCTTTTACATTTGCCCAGTGCTTTTATTTCTCTGGCTCTGTGTCTGTACATAAATACAGGTTTATATGTATGCAGTACAGTTTCTGTACTGTAGCAGGAAGAGCTAGGGGTAGCAGGAGTAGTAAAACCTCAAGGTTTTCAAAGTTAGTTGTAAAATGGTAGTATATGAGAAGAGAAAATCTAATTTGAGTTTCAATTTGTAGGGATTGTCATCAGAAATCCGTCTTTTTTTAAGCACATACGATGTGAAAATCAAAATAAGGCTTATTTTGTCCATTAATTTGCAGACCAGAGCAGCTCTTCAGTAAGGAAGGAAATAAATCTGACATTTAAAAAAGTCTACAATCATGTTGAGAGTTCTTTACCTCTTCTGAGGGTTAGCAGCAGAAGAGGTTGTTAAACCTTGCAGTGGGCTGCTCAAGGAGGCGGTGGAGTCAGCATCCCTGAAGGTGTTCAAGAAACAGCTGGATATGGCACTTGATGCTTTGGTCCACACCGTGGTCATCAGTCAAAGGCTGGAGTCAATATTTAGAAGTCTTTTCCAACCTAAATGATTCTGTGATTCTGTGTTAATTATTTAAAATGAGACCTGTGCTTTCGCCCTTTGTCTCAAAAGTTTAGGATCCTTCTTAAGCAGTTACTCAAAGTACCTATACATGAAAACAATTTTATTTATGAGATGCTGGTAATTTGTTTGGAGGTGTAAATACTGTGGGGTTTGCTGTAATTTGAAAAAAATTCCTGTAATTTGGAAAAAGGCTACCCGGAGAGATGGTGTCTGGGTTACTTCATGTTTAATCGAGCAGTGACTTAAGTTCCAGAAATGAATATTTGAAAACTTGGTCTTATTTTGTTGCATTTGTGTGTGAGCTGGAGACACAGGCTTCATGTGCAGAGAAGTCTCGGAGAGTTGCAAATGACTGCTTACGTGGAATGCATTTAGATACCACTTTTTTTCTAATGGACAATTTATTTTGCCAGCTGAAAACCCTCCTGCCTTCAGGAGAAAGAGAGATTGATTTTGTATTGTGTTTGCCTTTTATCACTTTTCAGTTCCTGAGCCTTCTGTTTTGAGGTGAGAGGAGGGTTTAAATAAGGGCTCTTTATTTTTCTTCCCCTAATACAGACTTCTCTTGCCTCATGCTTTTTTAACTCAGCAATCAAGGCCTCATTAAGATTCTACTTTCTGAGCAAATGTAGATTTCTTTATTGGAAAAGCAGTATTAGAAATGTCTGGGACTTTTTTAGGCAACTAAAGCGATGACAAGGTGAGCATGGTATGACTAGCTAAATCTTCACAGCTGAGAAAAAATTACTTGATGAGCGCATCATGCAGTCCTTGCTCATTCAAAGTCTGGAGCAAGGATGAGGGCTCCTTGTATAAAAATTTTGTTGTTGCTGTTCTGTGCCCTGTTTTGATTTTTGTCCTTTGGCTCCTCCTCCAAACTGGGGACCAGTCATCAGATGTCGCAGATGGCCAGATCCAGTTGGCTCCCTGCTGTTTGCTCTCTGCCCTGCCTGGCCCCATCCTGGTCTCCTGCCCTGTCCAAGGCCATGCTTGAGAGGAGAGCTCTCTTAACGGGAGTGCAGCAGCCCCTTTGCCATCGTGCACTATTCATCTGTGGGACACGTGGTTCTAATTAATCAAGCCTTGGTGCGAGCTGGGAACCTGGTTTTGACTCTTCTTTTTTTTGCCCCCACTCTGCGGCAGCTTCTTAAAGTCTTGATGATATCAGTGTTATGATCTTGAGGTGGGGGCAAGAGGAGTTGAGAGTTCAAGTCAAGCTTTTCATTACTTTCTGTAAATTGCATGAACCTTTGAACTGAATTCATACACAAACTCATCTCTTACTCATGCCAAGCCATCCCCTCAAGTAGTCATTAGAACAAGCAGTAACTCAGTAAATTACAAGCTCTGTAAGCTTTCATGGGAGAAGATGAGACATCTACAATTTGGACAAGTTGTAAAGCTTTTCTGCTGCAATGTTAGGAGGTGTTTTTTTCAGAATCTCATTTGAAAAACCAGAATCTATTTCACAGAGAATCTTCACCATAATTACTATGCAGTGTTTCTGGTAACGAGCTCCAACACAGATTTAATGTATGCTGTTGCTATTCTGCAGTGCCAGCCCATGTCACACCATACTGACTCCAGGCATATCAGGAAATCCTGTTTTGTAAAAAGAAAATGTCAGAGAGGTTTTCCTGAATATGAAAAGTCTGCCAGCCTAGATTTCAGTGTGCTTGCCTTTGATTTGGGCTGGCATAGGTGTCCTTTATTTACACTGATGTTGAACATTCCTGCTCAAGAGTGAGGTCTCCCTCTTCTGAAATGTTAAATAGGTGTGTAATTCATAGTACAGTCAGTAAAAAGAAGGCTTTTGTGGTAGGCGTATGATAAATTGGGTGTTTAAAACGAATTTTAAGGAACATTATATGTTAATAACAAAACAGAAAGGGAAAAGAACCAAAAAATAATTTTTGAGCTTGCTGTTACCAATGCACAATTAAAAGCAATAAAGACATTTTCAAGAAGACTTACTGATTGCTTTGTATATGTCTTCAGGACAAATATCTTGAGCTACCATACTGTCTGAGATGCAAAATTTTGTTAGAATATGATACAGCAATACCTGGGTAAAATCTCTGTTTATGCTCTCCCAACGCAAACACCTATTTGTGGAGTTATTTTTTGCTTTTGCTGTGGCAGAATGGATATTGGTGGATGCCCTGTGCATGTTGGCTTTCCTGGGATAAAATGCATTTCCTAAATAATCAACGACAATAGAAATGGGTTTTATTTAGGGCTTTGATGGCATCATATTGATAGCACCAAAATGGCATTGTAGAAATATCTTTCTTTTAGAAAAAAATGTTGAGATGGAACATTAATATATTTCTGTCCAGTCGGAAAGGGAGTTTCCACATTAAAGAAGATGTAAAATGCTCCAGAAGATTCCAAGAATCCAGGGCTAATTGATCCTGGGGACTTGTTTTGTTTCTGAAATGTAAATTTATTGTGATTTCTGTCCAGCCAATTACAAATCACCTGTTGATTTAAGAGTCATATAGCATTAAAAATCTGAATCTGAAAACTTTCTGTGCATGCATCCTCAGCTCCTGCCACCCACATTGCATACAGTGCATATAGTATCTAACTGCATAATTACCTAATTCTCAAAACACATGCATATGTTTTCCTGTCTTTATTAATTGCATGCAATTGTTTATATGCTGGGGGGGGGAAAACCTAACAAATTCTGCAGTGTCTTTCAGACACTCTTGAAATTTTTCTCATGTGCTCACAAAGATGGTTGAGGAACACAATTGTGGCTCTCTGTTGTTGTGCACCTCTGAAATGCATCTTCCTGATGCTTCCAGCTCTGGCAGATGTATGGGAAGTGATGACCCACAACAGGATCTCACACAAATGTGGCATTTCTGTTCTTTTCAAATATAGCATGAAGGCTGAGGCATTACCTGTGCAGGGCTGATTTTCTCATAGCAGCCGCTTCTGGGTCCTCCCAAAGTGGCTGTCACTGCAACAGCCACTGGTTCAGTTCATCTGTTTTCTTACATTGGTCCTTAAACCAGTAATAAGTCCCACTGCTCTTCGAAATTACACCCACTTTGAATCAGCATAGAAATCAAGCCTTAGTTTTAAAAAACAAAGTCTTTCTTTCAGAGTGAGAATTTAAGATGTCTAGGAGACAGCAATGCAAACTGTCAGTTCAGCAGGAGCAGATGCAGCTGTGACTTCTTCCAAATAATTATTCCAAACATAAATATTCACAAACAATTCTCATAAGCAGATTTAGAGGGGGGGGGAGGGGGGGGGGGATGGCTGACCTAGGCTCTCAGCTGCTTAACATCACAACCACTTGCTTCACTTCATAGGGCTGTAGCCACTTGTCCTTGCTCATGTGACACCTGGCCAGGAGTTTGACAATTTGGGGCAAATGACATCTTCTCTCTGTCCTTGCCTGACAGTCTCTCTCAGAGGGCCTTGCTGGTACCTGGACATGCAAGCCCCCCGCTCACAGCCCTGCCGCAGCTGCACCACTCAGCCCTCCTCTGCTGCTCGCCAGCCACACCAGCATCACGTTGGCTGTGCTCACACACACCCACTCAGACCAGAAAGAACACTCTGGTTTAAACCAGATAAAAATAGGTTTTAATGAGAATACAGAACAGATTGGAGTGATCAAGTGCAGGCAGGACTCAGGGACACTGACCTGCCCTTTTATACTCTTTTTTCCCCACACTTGCTGCTTTCCAATCTACCTCAATTCCTTCCTTTCCCCACTTTTAATCCATTCCCAATATCCTAAACTAAGTCTTGTACGTTCCCATGGCCCTTGGAAAACATCCCAAAACAAATTGTAGACAATCCCAAAAGTGTTTTTTCCCACCACATCCCTCAATGAGCCTTATACTCATCATCTTATTGTAAATACCTCTAGATGTTTCCACATGACCCACAAGAGGGTCGGTCATGTGTCTGCTCTGCAGGGCCTCACATGCCATTGGCACTGAGGCCATGGAAGCCTAATGATCCTTTCCACTGCTTGGAGTTCCCTCTTTTCTGTTCAGCTGCTTTGTACCTCTGCTGTCAGGGCAGTGAAGGGTTGGCATGACCTAGGGCGACATCTGAGC